TCTCGATTGGGCCTACGCTTAAAATCACCTTGCGACCTACCCACTCTATAAATTGGGCTATCCTATAAGTTAAGCTAAACTGGGTTTCAGCCCATTAGCCTGCAACAGTCTATAAATAGAAAATCAGAATCTTATTCTATTTCCTCTTCTACTAAGATTTTAAATCTTACTCAAACTATTAAACTTGATTTGATAAGGTGAAGAAATCATATCTCTTTCATGATATGGATTATCTCCCAAAATAGGACTTAGTGTCCTACTAAGATTTCAAATCTTATTTAAACTATTAAACTTGATCTGATAAGGTCAAGAGATCATATCTCTTTCATGATATGGATTATCTCCCAAAATAGAACTTAGTATCCTACTAAGATTCCAAATCTTATTTAAACTATTAAATTTCTGATAAGATCAAAAAATCATATTTCTTTTTTGATAAGGATTATCTCCCAAAAAAGAGGATTCAATGTCCTACTAGGATTCCAACCCCTTGGGTTCACTATAAAAACAGAGATTTGCCCTCTCTTTAGGCATGAAATCTCTCATAGTCAATCTACGCAACTCAAAACTATCTATTTGCTCCTAAAGTTCTTGCTCCCGAGAACCCAACGCCTCTGCCGTAGTCCTAGCTTCCGACAAGACTGCTAGTAATTCTTCATCTCCTTAATTTTTATCAAATAATCTCTTTCAGCCTTGTTGAGCGTCGGAGTGCCTAGGGCAAACACCACCTCGGTGTTTTCTGGAAGCTTCATGCTTGTCCTTCCATGTGTGTAGGTCTAGCGGATTAGTGGCCTCAACCTCACGGGATCAAACCCTATTTTCATGACGATAGATTTTTTGCATCTATAGTTTGACGCCCACTGGGGGGCCTTGACAATCATCTGCCAACGACGAGTTACAACATGGGAGGCAATACGAAACTCTTTTTGACTGACAATGTTAATTAGAAAATCTCATCATGGTAAGAATTTTTTTTTCTTTATTTTTCTTCGTTTGTTTTATCTATTCACATGCCATATTATATCTATTTAGCATATCGTAATTTATTTTATATTATATCCATTCAGCGGGTAGTATAAGACCTTGAAGCTCATATTATTGTTTTAAATTAATAATAGCTTCATATTATTGTTCTAAATTAATAATAGAATAATAATGTGTCAGAGTTTAATGTGGTGTTCCTAAACCACTTGATTCATTGACTTTGCTTCAACAATCTCTCCTCTCTAATCCTCTGTTCAGATAAGGCAACAGCTTCTGTCTCTAACCTCTCTACACACGCCTTTTCACTTCAATCATTAAACCACCAGGTGGTCCGCTAGCATCATCAGAGCTTTGCAATGCATTACCCGCCACAAAACTAGTCAATTTGTTCATTCAAGAAGATGCCGCAATATGCCAGCATCTCCAGGACCTCTGCTCCATTAGAAGGTAACTCAAACTCGACCAGCCTTGATCCAATCCCAATTCAACTTCACGGAGATTTGCCATCACTTTGAAACCCAAAACCCATCAATATGTTCTCCTAAAATTGCCCTAACAACTTCTCCAATCACATAGTAAAATCCTAAAAACACAGCAGTAATCCTTTCAAAACACCTAAAGTCATCTACTAAACACGAAGAGAAACTTCCCAAACAAAACCTACTTAAGTGACGCCACCCCACTCTCGCCTAATCTCCTTACCCCACCGTATTCCAAAACTTCAAACTCGAACCATCGCCCCTTCCCAACCAATACATATCAACTCAAACCACTTTCACATCACAATCTCTAGCACACCTGTCACAAAAGCCCTCATGCTCCCTACTATTTGCAAACTTTCCACTCCCCACTACAACTCAACACCACTAAACAACACGAGTAATCCACTCAATGATATTTGGGTTTACACATACAATATCAACGTGCCCATTTGGATCAGCCCAAAAGTGAATCACGTGCCCACTCAACTTCAATTGGTTCAGCTCCGACATAGAAAGTAACACCCCTCTCTCCACTCGGTCCAGCAAGCATGGGTGGCAACACTTGAAGGGGAAAAGTATGTGTCATTGTCTCATTTTAACTACCACTCTATTTGGTTAAATCTTTCTCTATTCGGCCCATTACTTAAATACATGTAGCCCATTTTTCCATTTAGCTCACTCTTTATTCAGTCCATAACACATGCACATCATGCATATTAACTCTCAATTCGACTATTTGCTTAAAATATGCATGCCATGCATGTCACTACTCCAGCTTCAATCGAATGTTTTCAACTACAAAGTCGGTCACGCCGACTAGGCCACATAGCCCTCAAAGGTTTCAATTACAAGTCGATCACGCCGACTTGACTACAAGCTCCATACAAGTTCCACTTAGCATACACCATCGGATCGGCCTTGCTCGATTCATGGATTTACACCATTAGATTGGCCCTGCCCGATCCACGGATTTACACCATCGGATTGGCCCTGCCCGATCCACGGATTTACACCTTCGGAGCGGCCCTGCCCGATCCACGGATTTACACCTTCGGAGCGGCCCTGCCCGATCCACGGATCGACCCTGCCCGATTCATGGATTTACACCATCGGATCGGCCCTGCCCGATCCACGGATTTACACCATCGGATTGGCCCTGCCCGATCCACGGATTTACACCTTCGGATCGGCCCTGCCCGATCCACGGATTTACACCTTCAGATCGACCCTGCCCGATCCATGGATTTACACATTCGGATCGACCCTGCCCGATTCATGGATTTACACCATCAGATCGGCCCTACCCGATCTACGGATTTACACCATCAGATCGGCCCTACCCGATCCATGGATTTACACCTTTAGATCGACCTTGCCCGATCTATGGATCTACACCTTCGGATCGGCCCTACTCGATCCACGGATATACACCTTCGGATCGGCCCTGCCCGATCCACGGTCTATACCTTCGGATCGGTCCTGCTCGATCCACGGATATACGCCTTCAGATCGACCCTGCCCGATCCACGGATCCACGGATATACACCTTCGGATCGGCCCTGGTTGATCCACGGATTTACAACTTCAGATCGACCCTGCTCGATCTACGGATTTACACCGTCGGATCTGCCCTGCCGATCCACGAATTTATACCTTCGAATCAACCCCGCTCGATCCATGGATTTACACCTTCGATCGGCCTTGCCTGGTCCATAAAGCTACACATTCAATCGGCTAGACCAGTTGAAGGGTTCTTACACCTCAAATCGACAAGTTATCGACCCAATCCACACAACGATCCATCTGACCTAACGAGCTGCTATCACTAATCCTCTCAGTCTGCACTCATTTGATTAAATCTATTCTCTAAGCTAAATACTCTTTAACTTAGAGAGTGGGGGGCTAACTGTTAGGGCAAAAAATCATCTTGAGCTTGACGAGGCCCAATAACGAAATAAGCATGTCACGGCCTAAGGCCTCAACCCAATCCCGATTTGGCCTACACTTAAAATCACCTTGCGACCTACCCACTCTATAAGTTGGGCTATCCTATAAGTTAAGCTAAAATGAGTTTCAGCCCATTAGCCTGCAACAGTCTATAAATAGGAAATCAAAATCTCATTCTATTTCCTCTTCTAGTAAGATTTCAAATCTTACTCAAACAATTAAACTTGATCTGATAAGGTCAAGAAATCATATCTCTTTCATGATAGGGATTATCTCCCAAAATAGGACTTAGTGTCCTACTAAGATTCCAACTCTTATTTAAACTATTAAACTTAATCTGATAAGGTCAAGAAATCATATCTCTTTCATGATAGGGATTATCTCCCAAAATAGGACTTAGTGTCTTATTAAGATTCCAAATCTTATTTAAACTATTAAACTTAATCTGATAAGATCAAGAAACCATGTCTCTTTCATGATAGAGATTATCTCTCAAAATAAGACTTAGTGTCTTATTAAGATTCCAAATCTTATTTAAACTATTAAACTTAATCTGATAAGATCAATAAATCATATTTCTTTCTTGATAATGATTATCTCCCAAAAAGGAGGACTCAATGTCCTACTAGGATTTCAACCCCTTGGGTTCACTATAAAAACAGAGGTTTACCCTCTCATTAGGCATGAAATCTTCCATAGTCAATCTACACCACTCAAAACCATCTATTTACTCATAAAGTTCTTGCTCCCGAGAACCCAACATCTCCGTCGTAGTCCTAGCTTCCGACAAGACTCCTAGTAATTCTTCATCTCCTTAATTTTAATCAAATAATCTCTTTCAGCCTTGCTGACTTGAGCATCGGAGTACCTACGGCAAACACTATCCCGGTGTTTTTCGGAAGCTTCACGCTTGTCCTTTCATGTGTACAGGTCTAGCGGATTATCAGTGGCCTCAACCTCACAAGATCAGACCATATTTTCATGACGGTAGATTTTTTACATCTACAAAAGTTACACTAATTTAGTGTTTGTTGTTAGAGATGTCTTATAACTATGTACATAATTAAAAAATAAAAATAAAAATGTCACATTAAATCGTTTCCAGTAATGGCAGGATTTAGTGGGGCTTCAATTTTGAAGTCGGGTTAGAAATAAATGAAACGGATTTCTTTTAAGTTATATGTTCCCTTCAAACTAAAACTGCTATTTTACAATTAAATTTTGAGAGTACTGATAAATAGTTTAAAATATATTTTTTAATTTTTTTCGTGAGAAAGTAATAATGTACAAATTATCATGGATTATGAACAAAAACATAAATCTTAACTTTCTTTCTAGATGATAATAATTAATGAACAACTTTAATTGGAATGAAGATATATATATAACAAAATAGTGTTATAATTTGATTATAATGTAACATTATCTATATAAAATGTTGGTAACAACTAACAAGTAACCCGAAAAAAAGAAAAAAAAAAAAAAAAAAAACCTTGACAGCCCCATTCGATGACCACTTGTGGATGGACTCCAAGTAATCACACCTGCTTTAGTTCCAAAGTCGGCTGATCGCGCCGCGTGTCTTCTAGAAGTCATATTCTCATTATTTCCGCCAACCAAATATAAAAGAAAAAAGAAAAATGGAAAACGATTTTTGGTACGACATCATCCCTTTCATCTCCCTCACCTGCGTCTATTAAAATCCGAAACGTTTCAGTTTTTCAACAACTTATTCAACAAACGCTCTCTATCTATCGACGGCATTACAGTTCACTTCAAGTAAGTTGCTTCTTTCTTTCTATTTGAAGTTTAATGTTTAAATATTTGTATTTTGAATGTTGTTGTTCAGTATTGTTTTAGTAATTTAGAGCGGTATATTTTATTTCTAGGGTTGCATGATGTCTATAAAACACGACCAAATCGATTTAAACGCAGAGGCCGTCTCGGTTGACCGAGAAAATGAGGTTGATACACCTGTGATTGGTGACTTTAGAGCTGAAACCCTAGAGGAATGTTCTAATGGTCAGGTTAAGTTTCAGGATACTGTAGTTGATCAAGTTAGGGTTTCTGGTTCCACTAAGGTGATTTGTGACTTGAATATTGGTGCAGATGATTTTAGTATGAGTAGTGGAGGTATTGGAAGAGAAGTGGATGTATTAGATAGTGTAATTGATGAGAAAAAAGACAATGAATGTTTAGATAGGGAGGTTGGTGTGGAAGCCGCCCAATGTATGGATAGATGTGGTGATGATGTTTCTATGCCTGATGAGAATAAAGCAGAGTCGACTGATGTAGTTGAAAGAGCTTCTGGGGAAGTAGGAATGAATCTTGATATGATTGGGGGGCCTGTTGGGGAGGTATTGGAGCAAGGGCATCATATTACTGGGAATTCAAGCTCATCTGATCAGGATGCAAGACAGCCACCAACTCACAAATATGAGGAGGTAACTTCTGATGGCTTGGAAAATCAGGCGATGGAAATTGATGTACAACCAGGGTGTAATGAAGATCAGCTTGTGGATATTCATGTTTCAGAGGTGGAGACTTCTTCAGATGTTTTGAATGAGTCATATGGGGTCAGTCTTGAGGTAGATTTGAATGCATGTTGTACAACAGATGGAAATGTAGCTGATAGGAGTATGAAGTTGATTGCCTCAAAACAGGATTTTTGTGCGTCTGATTTGGTGTGGGGTAAAGTAAGGAGCCATCCTTGGTGGCCAGGGCAGATATTTGCTCCTTCGGCTGCAACAAAAAAGGCAAAGAAATATTTTAAGAAATATAGTTATTTGATTGCTTATTTTGGGGATCAGACATTTGCTTGGAATGAACCATCAAAAATAAAACCTTTTCGGGAGCATTTCATGCAAATGGAAAGCCAGAGCAATCTGGAAGATTTCCATTGTGCTGTTGATTGCGCCTTGGAAGAGGTTTTTAGACGGGCGGAATTTGGGCTAGCCTGTTCTTGCATCCCTGAAGAAGCTTTAACTGAGATCAAAACTCAGATGATAGTTAATGCTGGAGTCAGGGAAGAGTCAAGTACAATAGATGGTGGGGACAGTTACTCCAATGCAGCTTCTTTTGATCCTGTAAAACTTTTTGAGCATGTAAAAGCTTTAGCACAGTCGTTACATTATAGTGGGGCTGATAGGCTGGGTTTGGTGACAGTTAAAGCTCAATTGTCAGCATTCTTTCGTTGGAAGGGTTATTTGCAGCTGCCTGAATTCAATGTGCTTGGTGGGTTGCTGGATAGTGATGCTGAGATCCCACTTTCAGTAGAAGTGAAGCACAGTGCTGAGGTAACGGAAAATGCTGCTCCTGATTTCAAAGATGACAAGCAAGCATCTTGTGGAACAGGGATGTCAAATAGTCAAGGTGGTTCTTCTCGTAAGCGGAAGCAAATCTCCGGTGATAGTGCACGTCCAAGCAAAAAAGAGAAAAGTTTGTCGGACTTGTTGGCTGATAAGCGCACAAATATGTCCAATGGTAAAAGAGGATCAGATGGTAAAGGTGATAAGGTGATTTCATTATCTTCTAGTAAGAAATGTAATTCAATTGATTCCACGTCTGATGAGATAGCTGCAAAACATAAGAGGCTTGATTCGATTTCTGATGATATGACTGTGAATCATAAGAGGGGTGATATGTTGCGTGTGAAACATGAGAAGAGTGATTTGTCAACTGGGGCTGATAAGTGTTTACCAATTAAGAGAACTTTCGGGGTTGGAAATAGCATACTTAAGGTTGCAAACAAGCTGAATGGGTCAAGTCCAATGCTTAAGTACGGTGATAGAACATCTCCAAAAACTGTGGTTAACAATAAAAGAAAAGAGAAATATGACTTAAGGAATTCTCAAAGTAAAAAGCACTTTCTAGCAGAGGATTCTTCAATTGATGATTTTCTGTCGCAGCTTTGCTTGGCTGCCAGAGATCCCATGACCAGATACAGCTTCTTGATTTCTCTTGTTAGTTTTTTCTCAAAATTCAGGAATTCAGTCAGCCTGGAACTGTCTCAGGGAGAAGTTTCTGGTGACAAAACTAAGAAAATGTTGAACAAGTCTGAAACTGCTGAGACACCTGAGTTGGACCTTATTAAAGATTCTTATTGGACTGACAGGGTAATTGAAAGCATTCCTGAAGAAGAACAACCACTTGAGAATAAAAATGAAGTTGAAGAAGTGTTGCGTAATGACCCAAGCCAAAAGGATGTTTCCCCTGTTGAAGCGCAATCAGCTGTTCATTTGAGCGCCAATATGGAGTCTGGAACTGTTGGTGAAACTCTTGAAGTGGAAGCAGTGAAGCCAGCAGACCCCTTAGATGGATGTTGTAATGAAGATCTCTCTCCCACGGCTTTGATTCTAAATTTCACAGACTCAGAATCTGTTCCATCGAAAGAAAATCTGAACAGTATATTTGGCCGTTTTGGACCTTTGAACGAATTAGAGACTGAAGTATTGAAGAGTAAGCGTGCCAAAGTGGTTTTCAAGAAACGTGAAGATGCAGAAGCAGCTTTTAGTAGCGCTGGGAAGTACAGCATTTTCGGGCCTGCACTTGTTAGTTACTGTCTCAAATACATGTCTTCTACGACAAGTAAAGGTTCTCCTCGTTCAACAACGAAGCGAAGCAGAAAAGTTGCAATATCTATAGAGGGGAATGCAACTTGATACCACAAATTCTGATAGATTCTTTGTAGTATGAAAGTTTTAGGCATTTCTTCTCAGATGTGTATTTAATATAAGTTCCTTTTTGTCAGCGATGGAGTAGGATCAAATAGTTGACTTAATTTTATGGCTGAGGAAGTAGATATAGTTGTCATATCTGACCATATTGCTCATATTTTTATTTGCTATCAGAAAGAAAGACCTTTATGAATGAATTAGGTATATTACTATGCTTGTGTTCTACGGAAAGATTTCTTAAGTCCCTAGTGATCTGTTGGGCTTGGATTTTATTGTGTAAATGATCTCTCATTATGGAACTATTATCGGTACTTTTAGGATTTTGGTTTTCTTTGGTTAATTTGTCGTGTTAGGAAGCCAGTCATCGTTAGTGTTGAGGTTTCATGATTTGAAAAGGATGAGAAACCTTTGTCTGGATAATTATGGGCCGATTGGTTGATTATTTTGATAGGTTTTAGAATAATATTTTAAAAAAAGTTAAATTGGGTGGATTATTGGTATTATAATGTAAGATTTAAAAATTAATAAAAATATTTTTTATGTTTATTTATTTATTAAACACTTTTATAATAAAATATTAAAAGTTAACAAAAATATTTTTAATTCATTTATTAAATATGGATAATCAATCACTTTTTGACGTGATAATTAGTTATCATCATTGGAGAGTGATTGGAGTGTTTTTGTAATTTTTAAAAAAATATTTAAAAGTATTTAGTTAAATTAACAAGTTTAAAGAGTTTTAAAAGAAATTGAATAATAGAGAATAATATTTTATAGAATAGTCATTTGTACTGTTTAATTTTATTCCAACCTTACGTTTCTCCCTTGGGTTTCGAGCCACTTTCCAGGTCCTTCAGTTTAAAATATTGGCATAAACCCCCTGGATTCTGACAGATTGTAATAAGGAACTGACAGTAAAGGGGTAGAAAGAAAAAAACAGGCATGGACAACACGTGTCCCTAAAGAAATTTAGGTAATCAAGTAGGCTCAAAAAAAAAAAAAAAAATTTTAGTTTGCCAAATTCTCTGGTTTATTCTTAACTTGTTCTACTAGTTGAAAAAAAAAAAAAAACAAAGGCGAAGCAGGTGCGTATATATATAATTCTCAATTTTGTTAAGTTTGAGATATCGACATGTGACACTTATAACGTTAATTTCTAATTTTACCCTTCATTAATTAGATTTTATGTGTCTATTGGGTTTAACCAACTACATATATAGTGATATTATTTAGGCTCACCAAAATTCTTTCTAAGCTTCATTATTATTTTTAAAAAATTAAACTCGTATTTAAGTTTGAAATTGCTAAAATAGACATCATAAATATAACCGATGTAGAACAATTACGTCTTTTTTTTTTTTTTTGAAATTTATTAAAAATCAATCAATATTCAGAAGAGTTGAATAGTTTCAGATATGATTCTCCAATGTTCTTGGTAGCTTCTACACTTAATTCAAGCGTTTTTACCTTGTTTGAAGGTTTGCTTGAGTTTGAGTGACATAACACTTTTGGAGGTTGATCAAAATGATATTTTGCAACAAATGTTTATGTTTAGCGTCATTTTGTCGGAGTAATGGTCACCAAGCCGTAAAACCAATAACTTAATACAGGAAACCTTTGAAAAGATTACAACTAAGGAGCAAAATTGAGAGAAAAAGGAGAAACTATGTTACTTTCTTGTATTGTAAAAGCTGAATTAGTTGCTACAAATGAGAGATCTTCACGTTTTTATATAAAGTGAAGATAGCAGACTTTTGGTAAAGTAAAGAAGAAGAAGGAAGCAGCTTAACATCTCTGCTTCTTAACTAACAACTTAAACCAAAACGACATCACTTTGGTTAATTACAATTCAACCCTTATTCTTTGACACTTTACAAAATACTACTCAATATTCTAACACTCCCCTTTAAACCAAGCTCTCTCAAGTGTCTCAGTCAACTTCTCTTGACCTGTATTTTCTGAATTATCATTCCAACACTCCCTTTTAAACCAAGCTCTCCCAAGTCTCTTGAGCAGAAGAACTTCCCTGTTGGTTTTACACACAAAAGAAAATTGCTCCACTAATAGACAACCAAGATCAGAAATCGGCACCAAATTGCTACACGGATATCAGCTGAAAAACTTGCTCTGTTAACAAGCAACCAAAATAAAAAATGATCACCGAATTTATGCGCTGATAGGCAAAAGCAGCCTGTATTTTTTGAAATATCATTCCAACTTTCCCTTTTGGACCAAGCTCTCCAAAGTTTCTTGAGCATAAGAACTTCCCTGTTGATTTTACACACAAAAGAAAACTGCTCCACTAATAAACAACCGAGATCAGAAATGGGCACCAAATTGCTACACTGATATCAACAATGGATAAAATGAAACCTTGTTCTGTTAACAAGCAACCAAAATAAAAAAGATCACAAAATTTCTGCTAAAAAGATCACCAAATTTCTGCATTGATATAGATATTATCATTAGACAAGAGCAAATTATGATGCAAGTGCAACTAAACAACTGAGCAACTGCTGTAACTTTGTCCCTGATGAGTAAAGAAATTCTACTAAATTGAAATAATATCAGTAGATCAGTTACTGTGAGACAGTAGAGGAAGCTTTGGCAGAACCATCAACACAAACTACAGTCAATTTTTGTTTGAGCTCATGAAACTAAGCAGTTGATAAAGCTTTGGTCAAAATGTCAACTATTTGTAACTTAGAAGGGACATATTGAACCACAACTTTATTGGCTAAAACTTGGTCACGGATGTAGTGAGCATCTATTTTGATATACTTAGTTCGAGCATGAAATACAAGATTTGATGCTAACGCACCAACACTCACATTATCACACCATATGATAGGAGGAGAACAAAAACTCAAGCCTAACTCAATGAATATCTACTGGAGCCAAGCTATCTCAGTTGATGTATGTACTAAAGCTCTATACTCAGCTTCAGAGCAACTACTCTTTGTTTTCTAGAGCTCCATTGGATTAAATTGGGCCCTAAGTAGACACAAAAACCACTAGTTGACCTTCGATCATCTAGGTTACTTCCCCAATCAGCATCGGCATAGCATTCAACATTAAGAGAGGCTGTTGGTCTAAACAATAATCCATGAAGTTGAGTTCCTTTAATGTACCTCAAAATTCTTTTGCAGGCCTACCATTGGAGCTCAGTTGGGGTTTGAAGAAATTGGCTCAGCTTGTTTACAACATGGCTAATGTCTGGCCTGGTGAGAGTCAAGTATTGTGCTCCTATAGTGCTTCGATAAAGACTCGGATCCTTAAATACTTCACTATCAGTGGAGAAAAGCTTAGTTCCAACTACCATAGGAGTTGAACAAGCATTGGCTTCCAACATGTTGGTTTTGATAAGCAAGTCCACAACATATTTGGTTTGTTTTAAGTGAAGACCTGCTGCTATTCTTGAGGCTTTTAGACCAAGAAAATATTGTACTGATTCGAGTGTCTTTAGTGTAAACTAAATGTTTAGTTCTTCAACCAATTGACTGATGTAAGATGCACTTGAACCAGTGAGGAGTATGTCATCCACATATATTAGAACATAAGTCACTGTAGATTGTTGTTTGAGGATGAACAAACTTGAGTCAGACACTAAATTATGAAACCCCTTCTCCAATAAGGCTTGTTAACTTGTCATACCAAGCCCGTGGTGCTTGTTTAAGTCCATAAATAGCTTTATTAAGCTTGCATACATGAGATGGGTAGTGATGATTTTCAAAGCCCTCAAGTTGTTGCATAAACACAGTTTCATTTAGGGTGCCATTCAGGAAGGCATTGTTAACATCAACTTGCTGATGTCCCAACCATTTGTAACTGCAAGTGTAAATATAATTCTGATTGTAGAGGGTTTAACAACTGGGCTAAAAGTCTCAAAATATTCTAGCCCAGGAGTTTGTTGAAAATCCTTAGCAACAAGCCTGGCTTTATATTTTTGCAATGAGCCATCAGCATGATATTTTATCCTAAACACCCATTTGTTGCCCACTATATGCATGTCAGAAGTGAAAGAAACCAGGACCCATGGATGATTATTTTCAAGTGCATCATACTCAAGTTGCATTGCCTCTTTCCAAGGAACACTAGCAAGAGCCTCTTTACCGAAGAGGGTTCAAAATGGACAGAAGGTTTGCCAGTGACAATAAGAGCAATAGCTTTAGAAGCACCTGTTTTGGTGAAGGTAATTAGTTTATAGACACTTGTTTTAGTTCTAGTTTCCATAGGATGGATGTTGATAGCAGGTTTGGAAGTAGTGGGAATGGCAGAAAATTGTGATGCAGTGAGATCAACTACAAGAGGACAAGATGACAGTGTATGACTAGAGTTTTGAGGCATGGAAATTTCAAGTTTGGATGATCTTAAGTCTTCTTCGGGTAGGCAACTAGGAAGAGATGCAGAAGTATTAGAGGTTAAAGGTATTTGTGGAAAGGATAGGGAAGGTGAAGTTGTGATAAAGTTAAACTGAGAGGTGAGAGACAGATCTGATGGACATTGGAGAGTCAAAAATTTTGTAGGATGAATTTCAATGTTTTGGGCTACTGTGTTTTGTAAGTAAGGATTAATGGTTGACTAAGGAGAAGTGTTTAAGGATGCTATAGATTGAGATTGATTGGTGGGAGGTATTAGAGGTTTAGTGTTTGGGGTTGTTGTGTTTTGTAAGGAAGGATTAATAGTTGAAGTTGAAGTTTGCTTACTAACTGCTAAGTGAGGATTTGCTTTGGAACAAGTTGCTGTTGGAGAAGCTATATGACTAAACTTAGAGATATCACTGAACTTAAAAGAGTTAGGAATATTGACAAAAGGAAAATGTAAACTGGAGGAATTGGAAACAGTCTTAACTCCTGACGATTCTGAGGAAGAAGACTGAAAATTAAAAGTAAAGGGAAACTCAGACTCATTAAATTTGACAGTTGGAGTTATGAAATTTTTTCTCTCAGAACTAAGGCATTTGTATCATTTGTGAACTAAGCTATAACCCACGAAGACACACTTTGAGCTATGAAAATTGAACTTATGCTTATTGAAATCTCTTAAATAAGGGAAACAAGCACAACCAAAAATCTTTAAAGAAGTGTACAAAGAAGGATTGTTAAAAAGTGTCTAATAAGGAGAGTTAAAATTCAAGACAGATGTAGGCATTCGGTTAATAAAAAACACAACAGTTTCAAATGCAAGCCACCAATAATGCAAAGGCATG